GTGCTGTCTGCTTTTCGACCTCGTCGCTGATTCCGCTTGTCCCTTCAGAAGTTGATGCTTTGACCTTGACCAGATCCCGACGCAAGGAAGACTTGGGCAGGGCTGCCAGCCAGCCCGCGCATCCCATTTTATTCGCACTCGTTCGACGTCCCTCTGCCCTTCCGCTCACCCGAGGAGTTTGATCTTCACCACTTGAAAAGTCTTCAATCTCCACACGCGACGTCGCACAGCTCCAGCTCGCTATTCAGAACAATGCTTCGAACTGGCTTTGGAGGGCAAGCCTTGGCCGCCCCAAGGAACAAACCTGAGGTGCATCGTGCAATCAGTGCAGTCTGAAACATAAGCACGCACTGCATGCACAGAGCTGCATGCGGCGCCACTAGCAGCACTAGCCCATAACACGTTGCGGTTCAGATCTAAGCTGGGCCGCTGGGTGGGGCCTCAGTGCCTCAGGGCCTGGCCATCCGCAATTTCGTTGGCGTCTGCATCCAGCGCAGCATACAGCGACTGCGGCGACGAAAAGGGTGGAATTCATCGACTTGTGCGCCCTTCTCTGAGTTCGAACTGCATAATTGTTTAATTGCCGCACTGCAACTTCAAGGATCGAGTCAATGTATGATCGTGGCCTCGAAGAAGGACTGCTGGGTTTCATCCTACAGGCTGCAGAGGTTCACAGCTGTTGACAGGCAGCCGCGAGCATTTTCCGCCTGCTTGCGTGTCTTACCTCCATTCGCAGCTGGCATCGTCAAGAGCGATTCACGTCTGCAGAGATTTAGTCTGCTGGTATTGCTGCACAAAAATGATTGGTTTGCGTTATTTTGCGTTTTCATTAATAATGGCTCATGTTTTCGGGGCACAAGAGGATGTCGGGAGATGCTTGATCTGATGTTGGATGACTGTCAGGAAAGGCTGAGGGATCAGGTCACCTCACAGACGGCCATCAAGACCAGTTGAGCTGCACCAGAGAGGAGTGATCCAAGGCTTAGCGGGTCTGGCAAGGCAAGAGCTTGGTAACCACAGACACTGGTGAGTCTGACAGGAAGGAGCACACAGAAGGGGCATGAGCCACTCTTTTGGCCCCTGCAAGCTCATGGTCACAAGGAGGCCGTGACCTGCAACAGGCTGCTTCGGGTTAGGCTGTCTTTCACTGACTTTCTACGCGGGACGCACCCGCTCACGCATGTTCACTCCCAGGCCCGGACCTGCACGGGACTCGGAAGCACCTCCACGCTGAGCACCTGTGCAACCACACGTTGCAGCTCAACTTGCCACGGAGCTTCTTGCCCTGTTTGCCCCCCTGTGCTTTTGCAGGCTCAAAGCTCTCTGCTTTTCTGCTACGTGCCGTGCTTCTGCTTTCGCTCCAGCCTGGTTCCGGAAGAGGGATCCGTTGAGGGTGGCGGCCGCTCGGATCGCTGCCTCTTCGGACCTCATTTTCTGGTGGCGACGCAGCGTCGACTTCATGTCACAGTCAGGTTGAGTCTGTCGGCTGTCGCCGTCGAATCCCTGACAAAGTGGAGCTCATAACGTACGAGTTCACAGTTCTATCGTGCGATGCGTCGTTTGTGAGTATGTAAAGGTTTGCTCGGAATCATTACTGTGCGAGATCTCGGTGTTCTTGTGGCACGACAGAGGCCAACTAGGCCTGGCTTGCATTGCAAGCATCGTTTGCAGATGTCTCGAAGGGTGGAAAGGCCTCTCAGGAAAACAACGACCAAGTGACCGCGGCTAGGGCGGCTAGGGGAGCATCTTGACCACCCACTTTCTCACCCAGAACCTGGCCCGGCAAAGCCTTGCATGGCCCAAAACAGGCCCCCCAAAACCCCGGTGGCTGCCAAGCTCTAACTTAGCCTCTCACCGACCCCCAACTCACCGTGACCTGCTGTTACTTGAAGCTTGTGCCCTCGATGGCAGCCTTCAGAAGCTCCGACATCTACGCGGCTCAGAGTGAGGACTGGGCGTGTAAGCAGCGGTGGCAGCCGCCGCACCTGCTCCGGGTAGCATTGCCTCAGAGCCATATTCACCACGGCCGGCGTGCAGCTTCGATGGAAAAGGCATCACAATTTGGCAAGTCGCGACGTGAGCTACGTCACCGGCGGTCTTCAAGTGGTCCTGGTAACGGAGCACTGGTGGTTTGCTGGAATCCTGTGAACAAACCCCTTGCAGGCAAAGGCAACATCGTGCCAAGACGTGCCAAGAGCGTGGACGCATTGCCAGTCGAGAAAATGCAGCAGGTCTCTGAACATGTGCATTTCATTGCATTTCAGGGTGTTGTCTGCTTGTCTCTTACATCCTCCTCTACCAGATTGATTCTGCATCCCACAGGAACCTTTGATCCGTTTCCCTGTCAGCGTCTTAGGATCACCTCCATTCATCGACTCTCATTCTGCGAATACGTCCACCATCGTCTCAAACCAAGCACCGGAGGGATTGAAAATTTGCCACTGCTCGCTGCAGCTGCGAAGGAGGGCACTCCATCTTCTCAATGATAATTGACATGTATGGGCCTGGAAAGGTGGCTCACTATAACTGTGATTAATAATTGCACGGTCCCACGGTACGCTGCCGGTGCCAGCGACTCCAGGTTCACGGGTGCACAACTTAGAAAGTCAGATGCGAGGCTGATCGCTCCGTCATAGGTCATGGTTGGGAGCCCACCAAAGGATCCTAGAAGCCTCGCGATTGAAAGGCCGACACTGAAACCGAAACGTCGGGCTGAGAAGCTGCTCAGGCTCCTTCAGGTCCTGCCAGCGGGTCCCTGAAGCCACGTTGCCCACCTCTGCATTTTCAACGCCGTTACGCTGCAAGCAGAGTCAAGGTGGCAATGCTGTGCAGGAACGGTGGCGGATCTAAACTTTAGGAAATAGTTGGAGCAACATGCAGGTGCCGTGAAGTGAGCGCAACAGCATGAGGGGGCCTTCACGCGGAACTTCTGTCCTGCTTTGACATCCTGCACTCAGGCAATAAGAGAACGTCGAAGCATGAAAATTTAGCTGAGGCCATTGCCTTGGGTGCGTTTGCACCTGCGATCAGCTGAGTCTTTAAGGCAGAATCAGATTGGAAGATCTGGAAGCCAGCCCTGGACCTCCTGCATTCTTGAGATCGTCGTGATACTCCCGCACATACATCAGCCTGCCTCCAGGCTATGAGGTTCACATCTAGCAAATTTCGCGAGATGCAAACCCTGGAATTTCCCCACGGCCACAGCGGGGCTGCAATTCTATTTCTACAGTCGCTTCGTCAAGTCTTGACGGCCTTGCAGCATCGAGTCGTGGAGGTACTGGACGGCCTTATCCAGCTGTCGACACGTAAGATGTTTCACTCCTGTGGCATCGGCCCGCTCATGAGTTCTCTGATCTGTACTTTGCTTGTCCTTTCCCGGGCCTCTCTTATTCTCCCTCCGCTGGGAACTGTGCTTCAACGTGGCATGTTCACAGCAAGCTTGTCGCTTCCCGGCCTCTCTCCCCTTCTCTTCACCCCGGTCGAGTATAGCGGCACCCCGTTGCTCCGAGGTCCAGGGTGGTGTGCAGAGGAAGCAGTCATTAATGATGAGTCTGCGGAGTTTGCACCAAACACTGTACTCACTACAACATGCAGACACAGGCAGCTAGCACCCCGAGGATCAAACATGCCCAACACACTCAGTACTGCGGCTTCGGTAACCGAGCTTTCCCAGTCCCCCCAGTCATGTCAACACTGAGGTTGTCCCGGCCTTGCCTCCCTCTCCCTCTTCAGATAAAGTTTCCACCCTCTCTGTCTGGTGCCCTGCGATTCCATGTTAAGGTGAAGGGGAAGAAAGCTCAATTGTGCAATGATGAGCCACGGGGCTTTCCGATGGGCCAGGGAACAAGACAGCTTTGGAACGAAATTCAAGCGATCAAGATCAATATCGTAGAACCACGGACAGGAAGCTCATATGAGACAACAAAAGCGCAGACAGGAAATCACAAAGCAATGCAATGCAGTACACCTGCCGAGCTGCCTGCACCGCATTGCAGAACTGAGTGAAAGGCTCGTCGAGCGGCACCGAAGGTGGCAAACTCGACCACTCCACAACCCTCGCTCCGGCGAATTGGAGCTGAAGATCCATTTGCTCTTGGGCGGGGCTGCGGGGCAAGGAAACTCGAAGGATGAAAAAGTGGACCCCAGCTCGAAACCAATCGCAAACGCCTTCGACTCCCAAGCACCTCCCTAGGCCCCTAGGCCCTAGATCTTCCCACTGTGCATGGGGGCCTTGGATCTGCGAGGATCGTTGTCGTCTGTCAGGATCTCCACGTGCAGCACCTGGAGAGGCGATCTCTACTGTCCCCAGTGAGATGCTGGCCCTTCCATCTGTGCCTCTCCAACTTGGCGCATGTGATCCTGCGGCTTCACATAGAAGTAGCAAATTCTCAGCCTTAGCCCCCTCTCTTCTCCGTAGATCGGAGACTTCCAGTGCCTCTGGGCTCAGTCTTTCCGCTTGGACCCAAATTACGGAAGAGCTTCAATTGCCACGTCTCGCCGGGATCGCTACTACCCGTGCTAGCAGCTCAACGCCGAGACCCGCGAAAGATTTCAAGAGTCTCCCCACCGAAAACTGCTCGCTACGAGGCCACAGGAGCCCGGAAAGGCGGTGAGCAGCCTGAAACAACGAGATCACAGATCGAATGCCCACATTGGGCTCAAATTCCGGCTGTCAGAGTTTGGCAAAGCTCCACCCCAACAAATTGCTTGAGACAACAAGTCGCAATGTTAGCGACGGCAAATGACAGCATCACATAGCATCACGTGGAATTCAGGTGGCCAGAGAAAGCCGTTCCATGCTGCAGCAGGTGTGACAGACCTGGTAACTTGTTGTGGCTCGCCAGTGCGGCTATGCAGAGGAATTTGACAAGAAGGTCGAGCCGATGCGGCCGGTGGCCCCCGCAGTGCACCGAAAGCTTCCAAAGAAAGCCACAAGCCACGGCTTCTAGTGCCAGGAGGACCGACTCACTCTTTCTTCTTTAAATCCTCGCCGGTGGAACTCAAGAGGACCCACTCGCTGACACGCTGTACCAGTCGAGGAGGCGTGCTGGCATGTTCTGGCGTCGTGCTCTGCTCCAGCATCGTGCACGTTTGGCAAAGGGCTCCGGGCTGGACACTACGATGTCCCATGCCACAAGGTAAGAGGGCTGGTTGCAGTGTACTGTACAATTACCTCTTGCATACTGTAGCGCTGCCCGGCGGCAGTGTCCAACTCCTGGGCTCTCCCATTTCCGCTTGAAATTCTGCTCGCGATTCGTTCCTTTGCGACGCATCTCTCGGAGTCTCACATGCCTCGCTCTTGGTGCATTTTGCAGATGCTCAGGAGTGTCCTTGAGCTGCTGCCAGGTCACGCTGTACGGCCTTGGAGACCCAGTAAGCTCAGACATGTGTAAAAGATGGACACGCCCTCTTGAAATTCGCGACTCTGGGATGCCAACAGATTTCCTGCGAAGACTTTCGTGAAGGGCTCCGTGAAGCCTGGTGCCAAGGTTGCCAGGACGGCTGCGCACAGCGCGCACAACGGGATGTCTCTTTGGCGTGTGGCTCTTGCGAAATCCAGGCCCTTGAGCGACCTTCACGGAAGCGGAACTGCTCCGAAGTCCGAAGGGTTTACACTGAGCTCTTTACTGCCACCATGGCCCTGGACCAAACCTTCGAGGCAGTCGATTCAGATCTTCAGCAGTGTGGCATTGAAACTCTCGCTACCGAGGCTGCAACATCTCCTGGTGGCCACGCCAGAGTGTGTGGTCGGTTCGACCTTGCTGATAGTGGCCCTCTGCCCTCTGCACCCGCTACAGCATCACCCCGTCGGCCGTCGAAGGATGGCACTCTCTGTCTTCGCGCACAAAGATCTTGCGGCCTCCGGGAAGGATTGATAGAAAGCGGAAGACTGCTTACGGAAACGGCTGGACGCCGTGCAGCTTGGGCACCGAGGATTTCGGTGCCAGTAAGCTGCTCGACAGCAGCTGATGCCTGGCAAGACCACATCCAGCACCACGCGCTGTGCAATTTGTTTTGTCGTTCGGATACAAGTCTTGTGCGGCATCGCCTCTCAATCGGATGGGCCAGCCTCTTCCTTCGTGCTGAATTCCACGATGCCGGCACCTTGCAAGCAGATCTCCACCCATGCGACTGAGGGAAAGTCTGGAAAGTCCCAGGGACAGAGGGACCTGAGCACGGGTCCCCTGCCTTTGGATCGAGCACCCTCGAGGTTGCCTTCACTCAAGATGTCCGCTCGCTTCACCTCCAAAGACCGCGACATCTCTTAAGGACGAAAGGATGCGGCAGAGCTTTCCTGGCTTTCAGACAGGCCCCTTAGCCTCGCCAACAGATCTGAAGTGGTCCTTCAGGTCCTCCCAGTGCTAGCGCAAGAACCGAAGCTGAACTCGGGATAACAGCGGGCCTTCCATGTTGCGATCCAGGCAAGGTTCCCGACATAGACCCTACAGTCCTCCAGTGCCGCAGACTCTGTGCTTCCGCAGTCGCCCGACTGCGCTCCTTTCGCTCGCCCGTGCTCTGGTCTACCCGATCCTGCACAGCCGCGATCGCCGGACTCGGGGACCCGTGAAAACGCCAGCAGGGAGCCTCCCGGACGGCAATTTGCCTTCCGGAAAGTTCAGAGTCGTTGAGTTCCAGGACCTGGGCACCAACAGAAGAGACACCACGTGCTGGCAGGCTTGAACGATGAAAAGCTCCAAACAAAGGATCGTGTGCCCCGGAACGCCGCAGATGTGCAGAACTTGCAGAATGACGATACTCGAATCTATCGGCGAGCATTCTCCAGTTGCCGAGTGTTACAGTGTTACAGATGCGGGCAGCGACACCAAACTTCGGAGATTCGACAGGACCAAACGGATCTCTCTTTCTTGCGCTCTCGCCAAGCAAGAGGGCCCTTGAGTCTCAAATCGTTTCTGATCGAGAAGTCGCTTTAGGGCCGACAGCAACAAAGCAGAATGCCCCGTTCGGGAAAGTGCCTCAGGTCATCCAGCGTCTGTTTCAAGCTGCCAAGGAGGATGCGTGCAATGGCATGCCGCTGAAACAACAAAGAACTGACCCGCGATGTAGGTAAATACGCTTCATTAGTTTGCTAACGCAGTCAGTGTAAGAAGTGTACGGCTCGCTGTGCGTCCTCCGCACGACGGAAGGCCACCAAACCGCATCCACGGGATCGGCCGGTTTCCTGCCAAGCAGAACAATTGGGATGCTTACTGTACAACACCGGGTGCTGCTTTTGGTCACATTCACATGACTCAATGTGCGAGCCTGAGCAGGATTGCAGATTGCAGATGGATTATGCAAAGGTCCTCCGTGAAGATGTCGGCGTACACAACCTCTCCGACAGATTTCATATGGTCCTTCAAAGGTAGGAAGACTTCAACTTAAAAGCATCAACAGTGGGAGTCCCAAGAATGGAATCCCCGGCCAACAGCAGCGCCTTGAGTTCTTGCCATGCCACATGCCAGGGAAGATTGCTGACGTAGACTCTGTTCTCCACCTCGACGGCATTTGCTGAGCCCATTCTCAAGCATTCTTGATGTCAAGTAAGCATCGGAGGGCCCCGACGGGGCCATGCATAACGGGCATCCTGCTTCCCTTGCCACCATATCCTCCATATGGCCCGTACACCTGTGCAGCTACCCGTTTTCAGAGCAGATCCCAATGAAAACGAGAACCAGGACACTGCCTGGCCCCAGCCCTTCATCTCAGCTTGGTTTCATGCACTTTGGCCGCTCAGTTGGTGGTGTTCAGCATGACTATGCGTAATGCTACATCACCGTACTTCTCGGTCCTTGTATGAGTTTTAGGTGTCAGATGCCTGTCCTTGAAGTACATGTCTCGCCAATGGTGTCTGCAACATACTTCATGCGCACACAGCAGTCCACTATATGTATACCAACTTCCAGCATATGAGCCGACGTCCCAGCTGCGCAGTGAAAGGACATTCCCAGTGTCAAACTGACAATAACAAGCACGAGCAACACGCAGGAGTGATACAAGCTCAACCACCTCGGTTCTTTTCCGAGGCAGTTCTGCGTCTCTCGTCGTGCTACACATTGGCAAGCACACCTGAGAGGGAAAGTTCGGCTGTTGCGTGTGAGATCTACTAAGTTACTAAGCAGTGCCACTTTAAAGTCTAAATGTCAAGTGCCATCGGTGAAAAGAGGTGCGAACTGCCGAAGTTCATCACCTGTCAGCAACTTCTCCGTACGCGGGGAACACAGACCGACGATGGCTGGGCAGCTGTGTCGTGAATGGCTGTGACGAGCTACCTCTTGCGGTGTACACACTATGCACGCACGAGGACACACACTCACACACCAATATATGTATGTATATGTATGTGCATGTGTTAATATACATATATACATATATTTATTTATTTATTTATTTATTTATGACCCCTCCTCAATGACTTATTAGGTTCTCAGTTTTCAGGTAGGAAGTGAAAGTAGCCTTCATTGCGATCGAAAGGGTCCTTACCGAGAGTCACTCCTTCATAGAACTTATTGGCCCCTGTTCCACAGAGAGAGAGAGAGGGGGGATGAGCGGGGACGGGAGGGAGACTGAACTCCGAAGCTCAAAACCCCAGCCGTTGCACAGGCCGGGGAGGGGGAATGATCACACATTGGAGGAAGGCCTAAAACAAACCACCCAACCTTTCCACACGCAAGCTCAAGGCCCAAGACGTTAGCGGGGTAGGGGGGTAGGGGGCCCGCCGGAGCGCAACCATGTACACATCAACACTTGACTACTCTATAGAGGAGAGTTACAGCTGCTGACAATTCGGGAATATCTGCACGAACCGATGGCAACCTCAAGCATGGTCTGGCTTGCGACCCGCATCGCACCAATCTTGTTCAAGAAACATTGGTAGACATACTCTCGGAGCTGCGCAGACACATCACATAATTTTGAGTGCGAGACTTCTCCGCATCGGATGCTGAACAAACCGTTTATTTATGGTTATTTGAGTGGTTTTACTGCCTGTTCAAGTCAGAGGGGCTGCAGCAAGATGGTTTGGAGTAAGGAAACATCGCCTCATTCACTGGAGAAGCTTGTCTTCAAATTGGAGCGATTCGAGGCATAATTACTCTCATTGAACCTGCTCCACACAAAGGTCATCATGGCGCCATGCTCTTCCAGGCCTCTTGAAAAGTGTCAAACGATGTGATTCACCCCCTGCAGGATCATGTCACGTCCTCCTGAAATCGAGTCTGTCAGGACACGAGGCCCCGCGGCTTGCACACTGGGTGGCGCGCAGAGTCTTTAGCGGAAACCATGGCCGAGCCAACCTGCACAAGGATCACTGTATATCACTATGCACCGCCTCTGCCAAAGAAGCTTTAACCAAGCATACCAGAGCCGATGTCAAGCTGGTATGATGTAGCTTGTATCCGATGCCCTGACAGTTGTTTGAGATTCTGCAGCTTGTTCTGGTGAGATCACAGCTGGGGGTGTGCACTGGCTTTTTGTGCGCGTGCCACAGTCTGCCCTCGAGGACGTGAAGGCCTACACTCGATCGTCGGCGCATACATCATGACAGACCTGTTACCTTTGTCAACACGAACGGAACCTTTTGACAACAGGGGTGCTATCTGGTTTGTACCCCGAAGTCAAGCTCTACGGCAAGAGATAGGACTGGTCTGTCATTGATTTTCACTCTCAGTACTACTCTGTACTACCCGGTCCCTGCTCATGTACAGGTCTGCCCGATCTCCAGATTTAGGGTATAGAGGTCAAGGGATGGAATCGAATCCGCGGGCTGTGACGCTAAATGCTGCTGTGGAAGACTGGTGCGTAACAGGACGACCCCACAATGCATCGCATGCAAAGATCGAGAAGTCCCTGAAGGAGCCAATCGGAACAGAAACAACCCTTTCTCTGGGCCCGCAGGCATGTTGCGTTCGATGACTTGCCCTTGTCATTCTGAGGAATAAGTCTTTCGGCCTTTCGGTGCTCTGGAGACATCTCGGCATGCGAATCCGTTGCTTTTTGCTTGGGGACCCATCAGTGATTTGCAACGGCGACAAAGCGACAACAACTTTGCACCCTTCTCTCTAATGACCTCTCGGTAGTTCTGTAGCAGGTCTGGTGTAATGTTACCCAGGGACCGCATGATGGGATGCTCTATTTCGTGAAAACATGAACATGACGGCCTTTTAAAGCTTTGCAATGCATGTCCGAAGCACCGGGAAATCCCGGAGGGAAACGTCTTGAAGAACAAGTGCTCAGCAACGCGGTCGGGGAGGCGTGATGACGACATGCCGATGACGAGAGACATTCGCACTCTGTGCTGCTCCGGCTTAGTGGATGTCACGCCTCCAAACAAAGCTGAGACGTCTTACTGCTGCGAGACTTGCCCGTCGAAATCCTGAAGCCTGGAGATTCAACGTCGGATAGTATGAGTGTGAGCACCGCAGTGCTCCAAGCCTGCAGCCGAACACCCCATGAGCAAGCCACATATCCAGCGCCCTGAACCCACAAGGCAATTGCAGATCCCCAACCTTAAACCCAGAACTCTAAACCGAAACACAACAACAAAACCGCCATCGAGGCTGTGTGTTTTGATCGAGGTATACGAGGTGCTGAAATATCAGTGAATTTGCACCCCTGCTGTAAATTCCCCATGAACAAGACGGTTTTCTAGCGATGTAGCCAAGATACTAATTACTTCGCACTGGCATGGAACAAAACCTCCACTTTCTGCATAGCTTCTTTGTTCTGATCAAGCCAAAACCGCGCTGAAATGCACGAACTTAGTTCGAAGCTGGAAGAACGCGCGAAGGAACATGTTGCCTGTCACGTGGCACTTTCGTAAGCGCAAAATCTCGCTATCCGCGGTGCTTCGAGCTGTTGCAACGTCTTCTTGTGTTGTACTTCGCCATGGTCTCCGGGAAACTGACGGGAACGAGTATTCGGCCGTCTGTAACCCGCGCAAAAAGCTAGATCACAAGCGTGTCAAGGCGAGGGCAACACGGCGTCACTCCCTGGCTACTAATTAGCTTGTCGCTTTGTCGGGGCTCGACGGTCTGAGCGCCTGCAAGATGCAGCCCACTAGGGCTGCGGTGTTGGAGATTTGCTGTGCGACTTCGACACAGTACCTGATCCGACCTTGTAGGCATACATAAAAATCAGATCAGCTACTGGTGTTAAGTTACTTGTGGGAGACATGGAATTAGGCTACTGCACCCACCGCCGCCTCACCGGCAAAATGGATTGAAAGATTTCAAGCGGACGAACGATTCGACGGATTTGCCAGTCTCCCAGCACTCAGGCCAAATACCATAAAGTATGACCTACCGTGCTCGCACTTAGATGCTGAAGCAACTCAACCAGCTGGACGTAGGCACAGCCTTTCCTTGGTCTTCTTGTGTCTACTCGCAGGCATTGCACCGTGTCGAAACATTCCGTTTACCTCATTGAAGAGTCTTCAGAGATGTACATGACTCTCATGATACGACACACCAGACTACTCAAGTAAAGCACCGGATTCCTCAAGTGACTGGCAAAGTTCATCTGATGGCAGCGCATGCAACAGCAAAGCGATGGTTTCCCGTGTCGTTCGGTTTCACATGCCCCCCCAAGAAATGCACATTCTGGTATTCCTGCTTCGAGTCCGGATTGAGGACGAAGCAATCCGAGTCTTCAAACGACCGAGAAAATGCTTCTAAAACTTGAGCTTCGTACTGTCCCGCTGGGTCTGTGTTTGATCTCATGTTTGCTTCAGGTTTGTTTGCGTACGACCATACATGAGACATGAGCGTGAGCAAACGTGCACGATGATCGCACGTTTGCATGTTTGCCTTCTATGTGCGTATATATCATCTACAATGTGTGTCTGTGCCTATTTATACGTCTGCATGTCTGTGTGCATGTGCTCATGCGGCAATATTCAGTGATTCATATTACATGTCATGCGCCTCCTACCCCTCTTCCCTTCAAGTTTGCAGGCCTACGGCCCTACGGCACTCGGCTCAAGAGCGACTCGAAGGGCATCGCCAGCTTCAACGGATTCAAGGTGAAGCTTGGCAGATGCAGGAGGCGATGTTGAAGGGTTTCTCTATCGCGGCCTTGGATCAGGTTTGGGTTTTGAGAGCTCCAGGCGGCTGATGGGCCAGGAAGACATGTCGACGGTTACGCTTTGGGCAACACACAGGGGGTAATCCAAATTTGCAGGTTACCCGACGCCCGGACTTCGCATTTCACTGTGCTGGTAGCGGCGGCCGAATGCTTGCTGTTTCCTTGTCGCTGGAACAGTTGCATGACATCTGCACTAGACAGACTTCATGACAAGATGGGCGTATAAGCTGAAAAGAAAAACGGTTCGACACAATACATAAAACGGCTGGTGTGCATTGAACACCTTGCATTGGAGAGAAACTAGCATTCTTACACACGAAATCATTTGCATCACCTGTGACATTGCACAATCGTCGCCACGTATTTCGGGCAAAACGTATGGCACACGATCATGTCAACGTGCATAATCACAAGGGGACGCCGCTGCCCGATGTGCTGCACTTTATGCAATTATACTTCCATAAGATGGCAGTCCGTCCTAAGTTGCCAAAGGTGAAGTTGTTGACGCGCATGCAATCAGTGGTTGATTGGGTCTGGGATTTTAGCCCGTGCGATGATGGCAAAAGCAGGTTTTCCGTGCACGATCAGGTCCTGTTCGCCCTTAACAGCGGCTACCGTCAC